AGATGTCAAATATAACAAGAAAGTGTATGGATGACATTGGAAGCTTTGCTAACCTTAAAGAAGACGACCAGAGATGAAAAAGATTAATCCAAACAATCTAGGTCATGTTGGAGGCTTTACTACAGATGAAGAAGATGACGGGAGAACTTCCTTGTCCTATTAGAAGTCTCGTTCCCCACACTCCAACGGTGGAAATATAGAGAACAAAGATCAAATGAAAGGAGAGTTAAGAGCCTAGGACATACGAGAGAGAGGGAGTAGATTTAGAAAATAAGTGGACAAAGTCCCAAGATTGTCCTCTTTAAAAGCGCCCAATGTTAAAAAACATAAGGCAAATTCAAAATTTTTAGAGAGGAGAGCATAGCGGTCACGATAGTCGTAATTTTCACCATTTTTGACTACTAATTGTGGCATGACAACTGCAACACTAAAACATGACACTACTGGTCGCCATAGTAGAGTTGCACCCCTCTAATTTGCTCCGCCGCGATTGTAGCCACTATTGATAACTATGCTTTGCCTCAAAAGTTTAAACACATTGTGGTTGCTATAAAGGAATTTAAAGATGTGGAGAATATGGAGATTGAAGACCTTCAAGATTCTTTAGAGGCATAAGAATTGAAGTTAATTTCAAAGGACTCAAGTAAGCCAAGTAGATCAAGCTCTACAACTACAAGTGATAGGAGGTGTTGAAAAGTGAAAAAAAGTAAAAAAATGAAAAATTGTACAAAGGGGGTTGTAGTTCCAATCAAGACAAATCTAGGGCTGAAGATAAACTTGAGTCTTCAAATAGAAAAGGAGGGGGATTTAGTAACAAAAATAGCATAAAGAAGCAAGATAATAGAAAAATTCAATGCCTTAATTATGGAAAATGAGAGCATTATACTACTAAGTGTTGGCATGGAAAGGGTAAAGGAAAAGAGAAATAGAAGATGAATGATCAAGAGGCAAATGTGACATACGATGATTCCAATTTAGATCCAATTCTTCTTATGATTACAATGAGGGAATGGAACTCTCTTTTTGAATCTTTATACTTAGATACTAAATGCTCTAATCACATGATATGTCACAAAGAATTGCTTATTGATCTTGACATTAGCAAAAAAAATCAATGTCAAATTAGTTGATAACAAGACTTTGACTACTGAAAGTGTTAGGAATATAATGATAAAAAGGAAGGATGACAAAACAACAACAATTGAAAGGGTATTATTTATATCAGGGATGGAATGTAATCTGATGAGTGTTCAATAATTGGTTGAAAAAATGGTTTTAGTTATAATGAAACATGAGTTCCTTGAACTGTTTCATCTAGGTCAAAGGTTTGTGTTGAGATCTTCTTTCTTCAAAAACAGAACCTTCCAAGCTAACATCGATAAACATTTAAGTTTTATCACTTCCTCTCCTTTTAATCTTCACAATTACTTCATATTGTATGCTTATGTGTGTATGGATCTAGTTTTGGTCCTTTAAGTCTATTCTCCTTCTTTGCAGTGAATGCTAAGTTAGTGTTGAGTTCAGAAGCAAAAATATTCTCCAATACTGCAATGTATTTCTAGTACTCGCACTAGTGCCAAGGTCTCATTTAGATGGGGTAAAGGGTTCTTTCACTCTCATTGCGTTGATTTCACTTTTCTTTATTCTCTGTCATCATCTTTCCGTACATTCATTTGATTCGCTGAAATCTAGTGCTGAGTTAATTGTGTTAGCAACACAACCTACTAGCCATTGAACTTGGGATTTATATCTATTCCAATTAGATAGCTAAATCTTACTCTTACTTAAGTGAATTTAGTTTGCTTAAATAATTATAAATTTATTTTGCAAAAATTGTAGGGACTAAAAAGGAGAACAAGTGAGATTAGGGGAAAGAAGGTTAAGGAAGGGGGAAGGAGAAGGGCTAGGGAAGGAGAAGTGGGAAGGGGCCAGCAAGAAGGGGGAAAGAGGGCTAGGTGGAGAGAGAACGGGTCTAACAGTAGAGAGAAGGAGGTGGGGCTATGTTGAAGGGAAAGGGGATTTGAGGTGGATGTGTGGGTGGAGGAATGGGAGATTGGTGGAGGTGGAAGGGGAGGGAGAAGGAAAGGGGCATTGCTAGTAGTGGAAGGAAAAAGGAAGTTGTAAGAGATGAGAGAGAAAGAAAATTTTCATTTTTGCTTACGCAAATGTAAATTTACTTAAACAAAAATGAAATTGGATTATCTAGTTTATGCACAAATTAGAACAAATCTGTTTTCTTGAATTTAGGTCTTTGTTTAATGACTAGTCTTTAATAGAGTTGATCTCTCTCTCTTGTGTTTGTGAGTTTGTGACTATCATTATTGACTGATGTCATAGACAAATCCAACATCAAAAGTACTGCTTATCAATTGGCTTTGCTATTAAAGTGAGACTCTCTCATTCGAGAAGAAGTTGAATATATCATTTAAGCTAAATTTAACTTTGATTTAAAGAGAGAAGAAAGCTGAAAAAGAGAGAATTGTTGATACTTTTTCCAATGATTTTTTGTAATAAAAAATTTTAAAATATAGATGATTTAAGGAAGTTTAGTTGATTATAAAAATTAATTTTTCATAAGTTTAAAAAGTAGGTTAAATTTTAATAAAAAAATTAATAACTACTTTTAAAAAACTAATTTTATAAGGACTAAAATATAATTAGTTTAAAAATTTTATTAAATTAATTTATAATTTTGATAACTTTTTAAATTATTTTTTATAAGTTATTGTAATACATTTTATTATTGAATTTATGCTATAATGTATTTATTAATTAAACACTTAATTAAATTACTTACGAATACTCATATAATATCTCTTACAGTAATGTCAAATAATAAAGCTAAAATAATTTTTTTGTATAGATAAATCTCGAAATCCGACATAAAATCACGGGTTTAAAGAACCTAAGCTTTCTTTATTGGACCAGCACATACTAGCCTTCAGCTTTGTATCCAATTTACCATAAACTGTTTTTTAATTTAGTTAAGATTTGTTAATAAAATCGTAAATATGAATAACGCGTTTCCTTCTACTAATGTTATAACTTACAGACGATAATTAAACAATATATATTAACATGAATGTTAGTCGTGGCTACGCAGCACCAGAACCTTATCATGTCAGGCTTAATGTTATGACTTAAGTTCACGACGAATGCTCTCAAAAGATTAGTCTATTGAAGAATATTTTATTTTATTTAACGGGGATTCATAACATTTAAATACAACTCATCCCTAACAACAACCATTTCTTTCAATAAAGAAAAAATAATATATGTTTTAAAATAAATTGAATCATACATGTATTTATTATTATAGATAAAAGTTGCTAGAGATGCTAAAAGCGGACAACATTATTTTATATATTATATAAGTTTATATAATATAATATAATATAAGAGGACAAAATTTTAAAATTTTAAATTATGTTGACAATAAAGCATCAAACTTAGACGCATGTTAGTTAATGATCTTTTCATAAAATTTAATATTAACTAATTTAATTGTTTGTTTAAATATTTTTATTAATTAGATTAATTTTATAAAATTTAAAATTAATCAAAATTTTATTGTGTTATTTTATTTAACGTATGGTAAATTTAAAAATACAAGTAAAATATTAAATTTTAAATAACATATTTATAAATCTTAAAAATATATAAAGTTTACATAAAAATAATATAAAATAATTTAACAATTGAATTCATTAACCTTATATTTTATAAAAAAATGATTGAGTGATTTAAATGTTTAAGTTTAATATTTGATATTAACGAATCTCAAATCCATAAAAAAAAGTATTTAAAGAAAATTTTATTTTATTGGTAATGAAAATAACAATTAAAATACAAGCAAGTAAAACCCTTAAATTTGAAGAAATCCAATCATAATACATTAATAATATATACATATATATATATATATATTATCATATTTATTGTTTATTAAAAAAGTGAATATTAATTAAAGGAGCTAATTATTTGTGACTTTAATTTTAATAAACTATTAATATAATTTTTTAATATTACTAATTAAGAATATCATAAATATATATTTTAATAATATTGTATTTTAATTGAAATCTTATAGTTTGAGTTGTATTCACACTAAATATAAAAGATTTAGTTTTTAAAATGCTCCGGTCATCTACCTCATGTATATTAAGAACAATTTTAGGTTTTTTTAAGACAGTTTTTATTATTTTTAATTAAAATTAAATTTCATCTTTATAGTATATGATAATATTAAATATAAATATTTTATTACAATAAACATTTAATTTTAATTTAAAGTATTAAAAAATATTAGAAATTATACCTAAATTTTGTGAATACAGACATCAATACCGACACTCGTATAATTATTTTATTCACGAATCACTGAGGACCACATTACATAATTGAGGAGGTTTTGGACCTTTACATCCTTGTTTTCCGATTTTCTGTATTATTTGATTCTAATTAGGTTAACATATTGCCATCACTGGTATATCATTCTATATAAAAAAATAACAAGATGCGTTTTCACCTATATAATTTAAGAATGGATATAGTCTCTTTTTTTTCATGACGAAATCAAGAGTGCTTTTTTTTTTTCAAATACAAAAATATTTACTAAATAAGGACCCGTTAATTGTACATTTTTAAATCTCAAATATTTTATAATTTTATGCTTTGGGTGAAAAAATTATAAAAATCTTGCCATTGTAATAATATGTACTATCACTTTTAAAAAATCCCATCCTCATATATGGGATAAAAAAAATGCGCATTTAACATTTCTCATACAAAATAATATTGTCTTTATAAGGAAATGTTTGTATAAAACTTTTAATAGGCTAAATTTTGATGCAAATCACTCGTATAAGATCAAATTTATGGATTATGATGTTTATGGGGTTAGTTCATTATAAGTAGAGGACATATTTAAGTTTTGCATCTTAGGAAGCATTCCCACTCCAGGAAACACAACCATATTATCTGTCCCGAAATTTATATCTATGGATGCTGCTGGTGCTAATGTTTTGTGTTACATCATCTTCACCTCCTTAGCTTTGCTTGTTTTCACTTTAATTGTTAAATCACTTAGCAAACAAACCACAAATTGCAGCACCAAGCTTCAACCTCCACCAAGCCCACCAAAACTACCAATCATCGGCCACCTTCATCTTCTTGGCTCAGTCGTACCAAAATCATTCCAAACACTGGGGCGTCTTTATGGTCCTCTAATTCAGCTTCATCTTGGTGCCTCAACGTGTGTTGTTGTCTCCAATGCCCAAGTTGCCAAAGAAGTGTTGAAAACCCATGAACTTAATTTCTGCAACCGACCCGAGTTTGGATCCTCGGAGTATTTCCCATATAAAGGGTCTTATTTCGTCACTGCCCCATATGGCTCTTATTGGCGGTTCATGAAGAAGCTATGTGTGACTCAACTTCTATCAAGCTCTCAGCTTGGTCGATTCATGCACATCCGAGAACAGGAGATAAAGAAGCTCTTGAAATCTTTGATGGGGTGTTCCATTGAAGGTAGGGCCACGGATTTGACTTTGGACCTCACTGCTTTGACAAATAATATCCTGTGTCGGATGGCTATGAGTTCCACATGCCTAGATAAAGTTAATGATGCTGATGAGATTCATGGCTTGGTTCATGAGTTTTTCCATGTCGGAGCTAAATTGAGCATGGGTGAGATACTTGGACCTTTGGGAAAGTTGGACTTGTTTGGGTATGGGAAAAGGCTTGCAAAAATAGTTGGCAAGTTCGACCGGATTTTGGAGCGCATCTTGGAGGAACATGAAGAGAAAAACACCGAGGATTGTCAAGGAGGAACAGGGGACATGATGGATATTCTGTTACAAGTTTATAAGGATCCAAATGCTGAAGTGAAGTTAAAAAGGAATGACATCAAGGCCTTTTTCCTAGTAAGTTGTTTTTCTTTTACTTTAAATTTCGCTCCTTCAAAACGCGTAATTGTAGTAAGAAACTACTGATTTGGTTATTAAAATTAACAGCTTCAGTCAATTCAGTCTCTTGTAAAACAAAAACATAAGATGTGTTCATTTAAAGAGAAATATTTTAATACAATCTAGTGAGAAATTTAACTTCATTAATCTCTGATATTTATCTGATAGCTAGAATCTTTTCATAATGCGTATGCTATACAGTCTAGTAAGAAATAATTTATATATAAGCATTAGATAACAAGAGTAACTCTTTCATTGGACATAAAATGAATAGTTCAATTCATTATAATTTATTATGTAACTAAGTAATCAATTAATACTGATCTAAAAAATAAAATTCAGAAAATTTAACATTAAATTGATATTCTTGTAATGTCAAAGCTGGAATTATCAGCGAATTTTAAGTAACAAACTGATGTTTCCTACTGTTTTATTTGTACCATGATTTTAACTCTGAAAAACTGGAGTGTAAGCTAGCATTTACCACATGGGGTTAAAAGTGATCAAAGTTTTTGTGGTGTGTGAAAATGCAAGGATATTTTTCTTGCGGGAACAGATACATCTTCAGCGGCGTTGCAATGGGGCATGGCAGAGATAATGAACAACCCACGAGTGTTAAAAAAGCTGAAGGCAGAGATTGATGCAGTGGTGGGTACTAGCAGGCTAGTCACTGAATCAGACCTTCCAAATCTACATTACCTCCAAGTCGTTGTGAAGGAAGTGCTAAGACTCCATCCAACGGCGCCGTTTGTTCTCAGACAATCAGCACAAGATTGCACCATCAACGGCTATGATTTGAAGAGCCAAACAAGGACACTGATAAATGTATACGCGATCATGCGGGACCCAGAAGCGTGGGCCCACCCAGAGGAGTTTATGCCAGAGAGGTTCTTGGAACCACGTGATGGGATCAACCGTGGAGATGAACGATTGATTAAAATAGACGGTGATGATTTCAGGTATTTTCCATTTGGGTTTGGTAGGAGGGGATGTCCTGGATCTTCCCTCGCCTTAACGGTGATACAAGTGACTATTGCAGCGTTGATCCAATGCTTTGAATGGAAAATCAAAGGTGGAGATAGGGTTGATATGGAAGTAGGGTCATCGTTTTCTGCGGGATTGGCAAAGCCACTTGTTTGTTACCCTGTTACTTGTTTTAATCCCTTTTAGCTTTCAAGTTACTTCACTTTCCGTAAGATCCATCATGAGGATTACCTTGCATTATGGGATGTTCACATGACAATGCGTGGTTCTATTATTAAAGGGTATCAATTTCTGTAAATTAAATAATGCTTGAGTGGTATCAATTTTATTGATATAAATTGAGTTGTCAACCCCATTTCATAATTGTTTTTTGTATCATAATTTATTTTTGTCTTAAGCGCAAATCTCATTTAATCATATCATACTAGAGCGAATCTATTTTCGGCTTTATTTACTTATTTATCGTAATTAAATTATCATTTTAGTTCTCAAAAGAGTTTGTGTCTTGCACTTTAATCTCTAAAAAATTTAAAATGTCACGTTAATTCTTACTTTCATTTTTGTCGTGCATTTAAGTCTCTAAATTCAGACACTGTTATTAGACAGTAACAAAATGTTGATATGTCACGTTAGTTGACACGTATCGTTACTTACGTGGCAAAATGACACTGACGTGTCACGTTAAGTGACACGTGTCATTGATTACGTGGTAAAAATGATATTATATGTGGTATAATATATATTTTTGTTTCATTTTAGTCTTTGAAATTATAACTCATCGGATATTTTAGTCATTGAGATTATCACCGACGAATATTTTAGTCCCTAAGAGAGCAAAAGAGAAGGGTGGTGAAGGTTTTATTGAAAAAGGATCTAGTAGAGAAGATGATAGAGAAAGTTTATGTGGAGCTGTAGTAAGATGTTTGGTGGCTTTGTAAAAAGGGAAGAAAGATTGGAGTTCTTATCAAATGATAGAAAAGTCATGCTGAAACTTTTATTATTGTCCTAACCCATTATAATTGTAGCATCATCAAAACCAGCTGCTGCTGTTCAGAACCCAATGCATCATTTTCAAGTCATATCCATGTAATAGATTACCCTCATACCAATAACAACTTCATCACTTACAACTCAAGATTTGTGCTCAAGTGGAAGCTCAAATATTGGTATGAATGCATGCATATATACAAAGGAAAATTACAAAGAAGAAGAGTGTGTAATCACATTCACATAAGAATAAGCTAAAAAGGATGTAAAGAAAGATATGAAGATGAAAGCAAAACAAACCTAAAAAGTAACGAGTTATAATTTTAATGACTAAAATGTTTGTCATGACAATTTTAAAGACTAAAATGTTCAATGAATTATAATCTTAAGGACTAAAATAAACAAAAATATATATAATACCACATACAGCGTTATTTTTGCCACGTAATGAATGACATGTGTCACTTAACATGATACGTCAATGTTGTTTTGCCATGTAAGCAATGACATGTCAGCATTCCGTTACTCTCTATTAACGGCGTCTAGGTTTAAAGACTTAAATGTACGACAAAGATAATAGTCAAGGACTAACGTGACATTTTAAATTTTTTAAGAATTAAAATGCAAAATACAAAGTAGAACTAAAATGACAGTTTAGTCTTATTTACCGTTAGACTCTCGTGGCTTAATTTGCCTCCGAAGAAACTGCAACTACACAATTTATTTAGCATAGTTGTCATTATACCTACTTAAAATTAAAAAATCGATGGTTGTCATCTAAATGTGATTTCTTTTTAACTTATTAATAATGAGTTGTCTCTGTGTGCTCCCGTAAGGAACGAAACAGTCTTGAGATTGATGTCCTAATGCCAAAATGTTAAGGAATAAGCCACACGAAAAAGGAAGACAAGGATGGAATCGCTTAATTAATTAATTAACTAACTAAAAAGGACAGGTGATGAAGAAATTTGGCTTTCATTATTCACATATTATTTTCATGTGATGCAACCAAACTCATAGTAGGCGCAAATAAAATATTAGTCGTTTAACAGATAAGAAAAATAATGAGATGTTCTTAATAGGATTTAATTCGATGCACTCACCAATATTCTGTTCACGACCATAATTAAAAAAACCAAACTCTTTCAATACCTAAAAATAGACGCGAGAAGAAAATATAAGCCATGCAGATTTCTCAGCAAGTTATAAATCTATTAGATATTGCTAATTAGCACATCAAACTTTCGCGTGATTCAACCAAATAAAAAATCGCTGCAAGGAAATGCAAAACACAGAGAATTCTCACTAAATTAAACTACCCCCAGTAATTTGTAACAAGTATGTAAGCTTTTTATTTTGCATATCAGCATATACGTTTAAAATATAAATTAAAACCTCTATGATCTTTCAGCAAACGGGGTTTTATTAGCAAACCGGGTAACATTTTTATTAGAGGGTGGATTTGGTCACAAACGCGTATATTGTGCAAATTTGAAAACTGACATGTTGCCGGCCAGCAATACATAAATGTCCATTTCCAAAACAGAAAAACAATATCAAACATAGACTAGAAATTAAGCAGTTAGTGCTAAAGTATGAGGGAAGAGTTCCTTTCCTTCTTATATACTAAGCAATTGGTAAACAACATAGTTTCATAAACTTAGAAAAGATTCAAATATGGCTGATTACCAAGGCTACGTCCTACTGTTTTGCATATGGCTAGTTTCCACAATAGTGGTTCGAGCCTTAATCACAAAAAAACATAACAAGGCTAATAAACCACCAAGCCCATTAGCCTTACCCATCATTGGACACCTTCACCATCTTGGTCCAATAGCTCACCAGGCTCTTCACAAACTCTCAACCCGCTATGGGCCCATCATGCACCTTCTCCTTGGTTCCGTGCCTTGTGTCGTAGCTTCCACACCAGAAGCAGCCAAAGAGTTCCTTAGAACTCACGAAACCCATTTCTCCAACCGCCCTAAAAGTTCTGCGGTTGATTACATAACATATGGCTCCCAAGACTTCTCCTTCGCCCCATATGGACCTTATTGGAAATTCATGAAGAAAATATGCATGTCTGAGCTTCTGGGGGGTCACACACTGAACCAACTTCTTCCTCTGAGGAGACAAGAGACGTTAAGGTTTCTAAGACTTTTGTTCAAGAAAGCCGGTGAGGCCATTGATGTTGGAGGGGAATTGTTGACACTGTCGAATAACGTTGTTTCAAGGATGGTTATGGGCCAAACATGTTGTGATAATGATGATGAAGCCGAAGAGGTGAGGAAGTTGGTGCAAGACACCGCACATCTCACGGGGAAGGTTAATGTTTCGGACTTTATTTGGTTCTTTAAGAACTGGGATTTGCAAGGGTTCGGGAAAAGACTCAAGGAAATTCGAGACAGGTTTGACACCATGATGGAGAGGGCAATTAAGGAGCATGAAGAGGAAAGGAGGAAAAGAAAGGAACTGGGTGGTGGAGATGATCGAATCAAGGATTTACTTGATATTTTATTGGACATCCATGAGGATGAGAACTCTGAGATGAAATTGACAATAGAGAACATAAAGGCCTTCATCTTGGTAAGTCAATTTCTGCGACCAAAATTTCATTTTTCTTTCATTGACTTCACATTACCAAATTGGGTAAGCTTGTGCCAATTGCTATGGTGAAAATGATGCACCGACAGTGACAACTCAGTTTGTTTAACTTAAAAAACTTACTATAAATTTTGTAGGACATATTTATAGCAGGAACAGACACTTCAGCTTTAACAACGTTGTGGGCTTTGGCCGAGTTGATTAACCACCCACATGTGATGGAGAGAGCAAGACAAGAGATTGATATTGTGATTGGAAAGAGTAGAATAGTAGAAGAATCAGACCTTGTCAACCTTCCTTATCTGCAAGCCATAGTCAAAGAAACACTAAGGATTCATCCAACAGGTCCATTAATTGTTAGAGAGTCATCTGAAAGCAGCACTATTTGGGGCTATGATATTCCAGCAAAGACCCAGTTGTTTGTTAATGTATGGGCTATTGGGAGGGACCCCAATCACTGGGAAAACCCACTTGAGTTCATACCAGAGAGGTTTATAAGTGAAGAGGGAAGTGAGAAAAGAGAATTAGATGTGAGGGGACAACATTTTCACTTGATTCCATTTGGGAGTGGAAGAAGAGGGTGTCCTGGGACCTCACTGGCTTTGCAGGTTGTGCAGGCTAACCTTGCTGCTATGATTCAGTGCTTTGAATGGAAGGTTTATGGAGGCAAAGAAACTGTTGACATGGAAGAGAAACCCGGGTTAACTCTTTCAAGGGCTCATCCATTGATTTGTGTCCCAGTACCTAGGCTTAATCCTTTTCCTTCCATGTGATTGATATGAAGATCAAGGAAAAGAAAAAGAAGGTTCAAATTGAAAATTTACATTTTAACTATTGCATAAGGAAGACAACGCCATTCTCCTTTTGGATAATTCTATATTAATCACAAACCTGGTCTTTCATTTGACAAAATTGCTAATTGCTATGACTGACTGAAATGATTTTTAAGTCCAAATGTGATCTTCAAAACAGGCTTTAGCGGAGACAATGGAGGAGTTTTAAAAAAATCTAAAAAAATAAAGAGCTTAATATGTTTTCAGTTATTTAAAATATACTGAATTTTATTTTTTTTATTTTGTTTCTAATTTATTTTTTATATCTTAAAAAATATTTTAATTTTTTGTTATTATTAATTGATTATGTAGATAATCAGATGTTGTCATCACATTTTAATTTTTGTGTTATGTATCACGTTAGGAAAGATAAAATCTTTTTTAAAAAATTAAGGATTAAATTTAAAAATAAAAATCAAAATATAATGCATTTTGAGGGGAAAAAAACATATTGAAATTAAAATAAAAAAATCAAAGTTATAAAATTATCAGTCAACTTACTTTTGCTTTGATGTTTCTAAAATGAATACGCCAGATAAAAGCTTTGTTTGTTTGTCTGGAGAGAAGCGAAGCAATTTCAATTGTTTAGTTGAGTTGAAATGAAGAGATGAAATACAAAATGGGGAGTGGGACTCACTTTTCTATTTTTACTTTCTTTATTTTCTTCTTTTCTATTTGGATCCTCATTATTTCATCCATGTGAAAACATCTGTGATAAGCCCATTCTAATAAATAGCACGACTAGACTCTCAAATATCTTCGTCAAATAACAATAAAAAAAATCCAAACCAAACTATACTTTATTAATACCATCTTGTGGTAGCCCCATTATTGACCAACTTTGCGCCTCCAAGAGTGAGTTCAACGAATGGACTCATTTTGGGGTTTACAAAATCGAACTAATTTTAAGCCGATAAAATACCAAAAATCGATTAAACTGAAAATTAATAAATCTAAAAATAAAAAATATATTTATATTCGATTTAAACTTCAATGTTATTTGCTTTAAATTTTATTTTTCTAATTGAAAATCATTTTTACTAATAATTTATTATTATTATTATTATTATTTGTATAAATATCTTATTATTTTTACTAATAATTATTATTATCATTTAAATTTTTGAGTTACTATTAATAATTAAAATTTTGAAAAATAAAATAATTTAATAATAAACAAAACAGAAAATTTGATCTAAACTGAACTAATATTTTGCAGTTTATTTTAGTTAAAATTTTAAATTATGTTCAAAATAAAATTGAACCACAATTTATTTTTATATGCGATTGGAATTTTATTTTTTTTTAGTAAAAATTGAACTACAACTGCTTCTTATTTGTCCTATTTAATTAAAATTCATATTAGTAAAAAATTTAAAAATAAATTAGAACGTAATTTAAAAATAAAATAAAATGAGTGAGACAAATTGATGATAATAAAACTATTTATTTTACATTTAAAATTCATTATTTATGATTTACATACATTTGAATTATTTAATATAAAATTCAGTACCCACATTTCGACTGCCTTTTTTGGTTTTGAGCAGAGCAGAAGAGTCAGAGAAGGGGGCAATCGATCGGGTTGACGGCTTTTGCTGACTCGTAGTTAACGAGAGATCTCTGACAAAACTTTGTGGATATCTATTCAGGATTACTCGTTCTTACATTCTTTACCTCCTTATAACACTCCCTCCTACATTCATCGTTACCTTACCCAATAACAAACACCCTTCATAGTACCAAGTTATGCCTGATTTTCAAGTCTTGCTCATATGTTTGTTCTCCACCATCGTTCTTGCAACCGTACTAGGGAGAAAACAAAACAGAAAGTCCCTCCTTCCACCGAGTCCCCTTGCCCTACCCATCATTGGACACCTTCACCTTCTCTCCCCAACACCTCATCAAGATTTTCACAAACTCTCAATCCACTATGGACCCATAATACACCTTTTCCTTGGCTCAGTCCCTTGTGTTGTAGCTTCCACAGCAGAAGCCGCCAAAGAGTTCCTTAAAGCCCACGAAACCTCCTTCTCCAACCGCCCCGCTCACACCGTTGCCGTTGAGGCATTAACCTACGGTTTCCAAGACTTCTTGTTTGCACCCTATGGACCCTTTTGGAAGTTCTTGAAGAAACTGTGCATGTCTGAACTTCTCGGTGGCCACATGGTCGACCAGTTCCTTCCCGTGAGGCAACAAGAGACAAAGAGATTCATCAAACTTGGGTACCAAAAAGGGTTAGCTGGTGAGGCTGTGGATTTTGGAGGAGAGTTCATAACACTTTCAAACAACGTCGTGTCGAGAATGACCCTGAGTCAAATGAGTTCTGAAAATGAGGACGAAGTTAAAGAGATGAGGAAGCTGGTGGCTGATACCGCTGAGCTTGTAGGGAAGTTCAACATATCTGACTTCATTTGGTTCTTAAAGAGTTTTGATTTGCAGGGTTTCAACAAGAGGTTAAGGGAAATTCAGATCAGGTTTGACACCATAATGGACGGAATGATAAAGAAGCGTGAAGAGGAAAGAAAGAACAATAGGGAAAATGGTGGAACGCATGAAATTAAGGACATGCTTGATGTGTTATTAGAAATACACGAAGATGAGAGTTCTGAAATTAGATTGACCAAAGAGAACATTAAGGCCTTTATCCTGGTAAGTCCTTTATTAATTTTTTTTTTTTTTACAAATTGGATTATTTAACGGTACTAATGTGTTAAATTCCAAAGAATTTTAACCAAAATTTATTATATATAAATTAGAGTTTAATTTTGGTACACTTTCAGTCAATTAAAATATATTATAAATATGATTTTTATATTAATTATTATGAAAATTAATATTTTTATCGATATAATAATTCATTATTAGATGATAGTAAATAAAGTTATCTCTATATTTAAATTAAATTGTATAAATTATTATATTTTGCGTAAGTTAGAAAAATGGTTTTTCAAAATGTTTCATATTTAATGTGACTAAGATCCACACTTGCTATTTACAATATTTAGGATATATTTGTTGCTGGGACTGACACGTCAGCTGTGACAATGGAATGGGGAATGGCAGAGTTAATAAACAATCCACATGTGTTGGAGAAAGCGAGGCAAGAGATGGATGCAGTGGTTGGAAAGAGTAGAATAGTAGAAGAATCAGATATTGTAAATCTTCCTTATCTACAAGCCATAGTTAAAGAAACACTAAGACTTCACCCTGCAGGCCCATTAATTTTTAGGGAGTCATCTAGAAGTGCTGTAGTTTGTGGTTATAATATTGCAGCCAAGACTCGCTTGTTTATCAATGTTTGGGCAATTGGTAGAGACCCCAATCATTGGAAGAACCCACTTGAGTTCAGGCCAGAGAGGTTTATGATTGAAGAGGGAAATGGGCAGAGTCAATTGGATGTAAGAGGACAACACTATCATTTAATTCCATTTGGAAGTGGAAGAAGAGGGTGTCCTGGAACCTCTCTGGCGTTGCAGCTTGTGCACGTGAATCTGGGTGCTATGATTCAGTGTTTCCAATGGAAGGTTGATGGTGGCAATGGCAGGGTAGACATGGAAGAGAAATCTGGCATCACTCTCCCGAGGGCTCACCCCATAGTATGTGTACCTGTTCCAAGACTCGACCCATTTCCTTCTCTGTGATGTTCTGTCTTAAAATATTGGTCCTTTTTTCCATTCGTATGATGTCATGGCAAGTTTTATGACTATGGATTAAATATATGTATTTTTAAAATAATATTTCTGATCATAGTTAAGTTTTTTAATGGTTTAATAATAAAATTTCACTAATATTATATATTAAATTTAAATGTTTTAACCATTACTTAGTTGTTGAGAATTGAGGGAGGAATAAATACGACACCAAAGATGTAAAAATAAATTTAGGGTGTTCATCACTTTGACTTGAATAAAGTAAGTCAGAGTATAAGAAATTCAAGTTTAATAAGAGATACGATAACTCCTAACATAGAGGTGCAATTTGGAAATAATACTTTCCCATAAGTCAAAGCATTTAAGATTTTTTTTCACAGGTCAACATCTCATATTCATAATGTAATGTATTATATGATTGATTGTTTTAATATATATATTTAATAACAGAAAATAAAAAGTAATAAATAATAAAATTTTATATATTTAATATTATTAAATAGATTCTTAAATTTTTTTTAAAAAAATTATATAATTTTTTGTTATGTGTCCTTAAATACTATTAAAAATAAGTTATGTTATATTTTTTACGTGTCCTTAATATTACTAAAAGAAGTTTTTTGTATCATCTCAATAGATGAGCAAAAGAAATGCTAGTAAGCAAATTCTCCGCGAACTATTTTAGAATTTTTTTAAAAAAAAGTAGGGTCAATCAACAAGAATAAAAAATGGAATAAACTAAGAAAACTTTGTTTATTTGAATGCAAAAGAAAGTAAAGACGACAAATTTTTTCCCTGTTAATCCTACCTTCAAAACCTCTCTCCATGATTTCATTGCATAGAATTTTTTCCACTATGTTTAATAAAATTTGTTTGTAATTTATTTACAAGCTTTTATCGCATTATTAACGGGTTAAGTTTGTAAAAATATATAGTAAATATTTTATGATTTTTAAAGTTTATTTAAAATATTTTTTAAAATTAATTAATTATTATTTATTTAATTAATTATATAATACAACTAATTATGAAATATTAATGTGATAATTATTAACATGCAAAATTCAATTCAATAGGATAAAAATTAAATATTGAAAAGAAATTAATATTGTTATTAAACATTAAAATCACATAAAGTATGTAACAAAATTTGCTATGGATTTAGCTATCCATAAAACAAGCAACAAAATACATAATAAACAAATTCATAAATATAAAGAAGAATTAAAATTGAAAAGATAACAGAACCATTATAGTATTTTTTAAAAATATTCAAAATTAAAATGGAACATTAGTTATTATATTATTTATTATTTAAGGATCTCGATCCAAAAAATTCAGTAAATTTCTCTTTTTTTCAATGAAAAAATCCTTAGAAAAAAAAATTCATAGAAGAAAAATACTCTATCCATAAAGAAAAAAAGAAATTATATACGTGAAAAGTTGTGTGTATTAATATAAAAAAAAATGCTTGTACATTTATTGAATCTTATCTTTACTCATTTATTTTCGTATTTGTATTTATTATTTTCATCTTAATTTGAGGATTAGAGAAAATATTGACTAATATTGAAAACTTGCATCAAAATCTTTATTAAGATAGAGGAAAGACTTATAAAATTATATAATGAGGTAATGATCCACCAAATTGCTAGTCCGTGTAATGAGGCATAAATAGGAGAATTTATCGTGAAAGCGGGAGAACTACTGAAACTGTATTCAAACTACTATAAAGATTTATGTACAAAGAAAGGGTAAAGTTTTATGGATTATATTCAAAAATATAGAAAGGAATGTTTTTATGTTAGCAGCAAAGCCATAGAATTATTGATATTATAACACTTCCATAAAAAATTAGTAGCTAAGATTCTTCTCAAATAAAAATGTAGGATACAATGTTTAATTTTATCTCTCTAATCCTTTTAATTTAATATAATTTTTTTCTATTAATTAATTTATTAATAAAATATAAATAATTTATATTTATAATTCATAATCTAGTAACTAATTTATTGCTAAATCACTTATTTGACTTTCAAGGGACACTCGTCATCGTAAATAAAAATTAATTTTATCCATAATCAAAATTTTAACCAACATTTTTATTTAAATTTCAAATATGAATCTAGATAAAAATTCTTATAAAATTTTTAAAATTTAAATTTAAACTTTAAATGATCTGTGAAGACCTTTAACAATAGTTTTACCCTTTTTAACATAAATTAATTTTGTCTAGAATCTCAACTAACATCTTTGATTAAATTTCAAATATAAATCTAGATAAAAATTCTTACAAGATTTTTAAAATTTAAATTTAAATTTTAAATACAAGTCTGTTTAATACGGCCGTTTATCATCTTCGAATACAATATTTCTAAAGAGACTTATCAAAATAACTTTATCACTCTCTTAGATCTGTCCTTAAAAAATACATTGCATCCCAATCAAAACACAATATATCCAAAGAGACTTCAAGGCATAAATCCTATTTTTATACAATATAACATAAAAGATTAATGAATCAAAAGATTTTACATTCATAATATTATAAGATCAATATACAATGCTACCAAGGCTCAGCCTGTCTATTGATTGTGATGCTATTCATTGCTTTAGGAGAACTTCAAGAACTCTGTTCAAAAACAAAAGTAATTGAGAGAACGAGAGTAATGAAATAAACTTCCATCCTTTTTAATTTGTAAAATGCTCTTATTTGAAAATGAAAATAAAACCAAACAAACCCTTAATTATTATTATTATTATTATTATTATTATTATTTATAAAGAACCATTAAAATTATGGAAATTAAAATCGAACATATATGATTAAACATTTTCATGATCAATTATTAATCAGTTCCTAAGCCCTAACTTAGAAAAATGACATAAATATTTTTTAAAAATCTTACCATTAAATGTCCATGTAAAATCTTATCTTAAAATTTATTTTAAGCGTATGTAATCATTGACCTGACCCATGGCATTATTGCAGGATAGAAATTTGAAGGAAAAATTGTTATTTTAACTTAAAAAAATTTATTTACAATATATGTATAATATTTAAAAACGTTAATTAATTTTTTAAAAGATATATATATATATATATATATATATATATCACTTTAATGTTAGTAAAAAGATTTATAAATTAAAATAGTAAAAAGATACAATAATTTTAAAAAATTTGAATTATAAAAAATGTGTTGATAATGTAAACAAATAATCAAATATTTATCTAGCTGTCGTTAAAACTAATTATTTGATTCGAAAGAATTATTCCAAACAAGAAGAGTATAAAAAGGTCAGAGGTGGACCTCAAATCCACCGTGTCAAGTCATTCTCCGCCCACAGTTTTGTGTTGCAGTTCGATCGCGGTTTGTCTGTCCCTCTCTCTCTCTCTTTCTCATCCATTCCATCTTCTCATGTTTCTCTCCCCTTTAGATCTCCCTCTATTTCTAGCGTTACAACCACTCTTTCTTCTCTTCTGCCCCAATTTCCCACTCTCCCTCAATTAATCACTGTTTTATCAACAAATTACTCTTTTCCCAGCTTTCTTTTCGTGCATATCTATGATTTTTTGACGAAAACTTTGGTCCTTCATATCGAACTTGTCTATGCCATTGCTCAACATTCCATCATCAATCAGCAGACACCCTTTACTTTCTTCTATTCATATTATCATTTTTTTTTATCAACATTGGTTGGTTAGATTCAAAAGTTTTTGAATTTGAGTGGAAAATAATGGTGACGGTGAATCTGGGAATGCTTCATTATGTGTTGGATCACGTTTATGGAGCATTCATGCACCGAACTAAGATCAGCACCCCATTCTTCTCAAGAGGATGGGGTGGGACAAAACTTGAGATGCTTGAGAAGATGATAAAGCAATTGTTCCCAGAAGTGGCCGGTCATAATTGGCCTCCAACTTTGATTCAACCCGTTTGGAGAACCATTTGGGAGACCAAAACGGCTTGTTTGAGAGAAGGGGTATTCAAAACCCCCTGTGAGGAGCAGTTGCTAGGTGCATTGCCCCCTGAGAGCCACCTTGCAAGGGTTGCATTCCTCACGCCCAAGTCTGTGCCTCCACACAGGATGGCCTGCGTGATTCATCTTGCAGGTAACACTAACAGTATTTAACTTTTGCCTCTACACGGTAGCTGAATTTGGAGTTGTTTATCTGCTATCAAGGGAGATGTAATGCAAACTTGATTTGAATGGATAAATTTTGATTTTTGAGCTATGTTGTGTCCGTTGTCAACTCCGCGTGTTTTTCCTGCTTAGGATTAGATATGAATTGCTGAACCTTTTTTCTCGGGATTGCAACATAATCTGTAGATACTTAACACAATTGATGATTTGGTAGACAAAATGGATTGGTGAATTTAATTGTAAAATATTATGAAAAGATGAAAGGAGAAAAGTGTTTTTGCTTGGTTGACCTGATTACTACACTTACGAATACAGCCATTATTTTTTGAAAACATTTAGGCCCATTTGGTGACCATGATAAAAGAACAAGATATGGTGACTTTTTCTTATCCTATCCTACTCTCTAGTGTTAATTTTATCATGTGGAGGGTCTGAGTTAGAAAAAAACAGAATAAAATAGCATAATGTATCTAGTTTGTCATTTTGGTATGCAGCTATAACAACAACTAACAATCAAGTTTTATCTCACCAGGTGACGTCGGCTACATAGATCATACAACGCTGTTGCGCTCAGTCAAAAATCAAATTTTCAGAATTCCGGTTAATCAAAAAGTCTCTTTTAATAACTTTGTTTAATGTTCTTTTGAGTTTTCCTCAACCCCTCTTTACCGGACTAAGAGTCATAAAATCCACTTTCCTTTGTGGCGCCTCCAAAGGTCTTCTAGCATTCTCATTTCTGTCACTTTCACTTTTTGCTCATGTTGTTCCTTTTTGGTATGCAACAATTGTAAAATAAGATGAGAGTTTATCCTACCTTTATCTTATCATGTTCTTATCCAAGTCTCGTATGTTATCCTTTTAAATCCTATTATATTCACCAAACAGGCCTGTAAGGTAAAACAGTAGAGCTGTAGTAATTCAATCTGAACCTGTGTTGTTAAAATTTGACCTTATATTTGAGGGGCAATGCTGAATTATGTTTGGAGAATCAAAATTGGTTACCTTTCTCATGTTAGGCCTACTGTTTTGCATCCCTGTAGACCAATTAATCTATTTGAGCATCTTTTCTGTTTTGCCTCTATCTTTCTTTCCTTCCTATCATACTCCTTCCAAAGACCAGCTTTACGACATTTTTTATGGTCAGCATAGTACATTGAATGTTACTCTGGATGAATCGCATGTTTACATGCAATGGAATAGTGTGATGTTGGTATTTAACTAAATTGCTTGTCGGATCCCATCCAGTAAACAGTACATGTGACAGATTTGATCAGCCATTGAGTACGGAAAAATATTGTGTTACCTTTAACTATGTTCTTTTACTTGTACTATTTTACCTTTAACTCCTATCTAATTGATTCTTTGCATTGAAGCAGCGATAAGTTCTGTTCGTTTTTCTGTTCATATTATGGCTTGATAATTTCATCATGTTAATGAGAAGAACTTTTTAACACAATAAACCAGAAGATTCAATTCTCTCTGCCTGCGATTATGTGTTTAAGATCTTTCCATTTTGTTTTGAAACTAAAGATATTCATTCCCTCTCCCCTTTCTGTGCAGGAACTGGAGACCATGCATTTGAGAGAAGATTACGTCTTGGTGGACCGCTGTTGAAGGAAAACATTGCAACCATGGTACTTGAGAGGTTAGGGATGGTCTTATTTTGAAACCAAAAGCACCTTTTTTTCCGTTTAAACTGTTCATTTAATAAGCTCCGTATTTGTGTCGTATGTAAATGCAGTCCATTTTATGGACAAAGACGTCCTGTGCTGCAGCGTGGTGCAAAACTTTTGTGTGTTAGTGACTTGCTTTTATTAGGAAGAGCAACCATTGAAGAGGCACGCAGTCTCTTACACTGGTTGGACTCTGAGGCAGGTTTTGGCAAGATGGGTGTTTGTGGACTTAGTATGGGTAAGATTCGTCTGAAACCCATGCTGGAGCTCACACTATTTTCATGTTCACAGTATTGTTTAACTTTTATTTTGCTACATGACTACAATGTCATTTTTTTTTTCAACTCCAATAATATAACCCATGAGAAATAAGCTAATGTTATAACTTGAACTAAGTCTCCTTTAGATGTAACAACATAGTGGTTGTCCCATGTGTGGTGTAACCAAACAAGTTTTAACTTTTTGAATCTCTTGGCTTTTCCTTTTGTATAATTTTTGCAACATTTTAATGTACTCCAGGAGGAGTACATGCTGCAATGGTTGGATCTCTTCACCCTACACCTGTTGCAACACTCCCTTTTCTATCCCCACATTCTGCTGTTGTGGCATTCTGTGAGGGAATTTTAAAGCATGGCACTGCCTGGGAAGCACTGAGAGAGGATCTTGCAGCCCAAAAAGTTGCAATGACTCTCGAGGAAGTGAGAGAACGAATGAGAAATGTTCTGTCTCTCACAGATGTCACACGCTTTCCAATTCCCAAAAACCCCAATGCTGTAATATTTGTTGCTGCTACTGTAAGTTCCAGATCTCATCATCACCTTATGAATTTGCATAGTGAAAATTGAAAAAAAAAAAACTTCTAACGTTTATCTATTTAAATTTGCTTGCTATTTCCATGGCTGTTTAGATCATTTTAACAATGTGTTTTTAAATGTCTATAAACTATAAGATGAATGTGGTTTTTGTCATTGAAATCCAGCACTTAGAACATCTGGCTGTTGTTTTGTGACATTGAAAAAACAAAAGGTTAACAGTTCACCAAACTTTTAAAGAGAACTTTAGTTTGGTGCACTGGTATATTAGATTTTACTCCCGGGGTTATTCAAAGACAATTTGCTTTCTTGTATTTAAAGGGATATTTTGCTGTCTATAAAATCATATTTTATTAAGATGTCTGCATTTGCCATTGGATTTCAGCTGTTAATTATTATCAGCGTTGTTTTTGCAGGATGATGGATACATTCCAAAACACTCTGTCCTGGAACTTCAAAAAGCGTGGCCAGGTTCTGAGGTGAGATGGGTCACAGGTGGGCATGTATCATCCTTCCTTCTCCACAATGGTGAGTTTCGAAGAGCCATTGTAGATGGTCTTGATAGATTACCATGGAAAGAGTCTTCGTTGTGATAGGGTTATTACATATGAAGAAGAGATTGCTTTTACACTGTCGATTAATACAATGGTCCTTTCACCTCTAATACTAACCAAAACTTGTAACACGCAAATTTGCTTTTGCACTGATGATTGTAACATGCTTAGTTGATCCAGAACTCCATCCCAAATGAAAGGGGGAAGAACTTGTAAATTATCATCAAGAAAGTGTACATTAAAGTTAAAATAACGGGATAGAAGTTTGTGAAAACCTGATAAAGTTGTTGGATGGAATTTAACTGTTCTGATCTTTCTTTAAACAATTGAATTTTGAATTTTCCTATCCATGAGAAAAAGTTTGAATTTTCCCAGCCTTTGAGTAAATTCTGTACAAGACCTTGTTACTAGCCTACTAATTAATACATCACATAGTACATGAGAACTTGACACCAACACTTTATTATATTACTTTGCAAATTCTCAAATAACAAATTGTGCATGTTTTAATATAAAATCCGCCAAATATTTAGCGTAATATTATTAATTCAATAAATTCATACAACATTCAATATAACCTTTTTTCTCTCTGTCTTCGTAATGCCAATCATCTAGTTTCACACACCTTTCTCTTCCTTTTTCTTTGTCGTATGATATTTTTTACAAAATTTATGTACAAATACAGTTTACCCTATATCAATATCCATATTTTCATAATAACAGTTTTTTTAAAAGTAAATGTTTATTCAGGTCCGCTTGATATATCTTCGTATTACTACTTTCTTTATTAACAACATCAAGTTGGGGTGTCAATAGTTATTAATTCTACTGATTCTTTTTCAGAATACTAATTTAATAGCAAGAATAAATTTTAAAAGATCAGGTTGATTGATGTCTCGTACAAAATTCAAATAAAACAGGGAAATTATATAGATCAGGGACCAAGATTTATTTATCACACAAGCATTATCTTCAATTCTTCATTAGATGCAGTTATTGAAAATTTTATACAACAAAAGAAGTTAATGTTTTTATACAACAAAAGAAAATAATGTTTTTTCGGTCAAATGTTTATTATTTTAATAACGTGTTAAAATGTTGCTGAGAAATATCGTGTCCGGTGGTAAGTCTTGGAAACTTGATAACCACAATTTTCCTAAATGTCAAATTTAAAAGTCACGTGATTTCAGGTACATATCTTATAGCTATGACCATCAATGTATGTTATATGATTATATAATTATGATTTGGAAGTTTTTATCAAAAAAAAAAATTTATAAATTTCATAAAAAATAATAAATATTTTATCATATTATTTTATTACATCGTGTAAAATGTTTTTAAAATATAAAAAATTATTAAATTTTGACTAATACATTTACAAATGTTTAAATTATGTAAAATTTAAAATATATAATTATAGAAATAATATAAAAAAATTTGAAAGTTTAATTGATCAATTTTATATTCTATGAAGAGTTATTAAGTGGTATAAGTATTTATTAATAAATTACTCAATATATATTATATAGATTAATCTAACTATATGTCTTAAAATTATTATAAACTATGTTGACCTTTTATTGTTAATCAATAATTTGTTATTATTATGGTTAAATTATACGTTTAGTCTTTTATAATTGTCTTCTTCTTTTTTTATGAATGAGTTCTTGTAGTTAAAAAACTCAGAATTTAGTTTCATATATAAATATTTTTGTTACATTTTAATTCATGTCTAATTAACACCTTTAACGACTATAAAGACTGTCATTATTTTTTATGTATCAAATTATGATTATTTTATTAATGAAAAACAAATTTATAATTTGTTTGTTCTTAAAAATATTTTATCTATTGATGTTGTAGAGAGTTAAGAATTTTAATTTGTTTAGATTCCAAGAATATAAATAATATGTATAAAAATAAAATAAATATTTATTTTAACTAATTATAATATTTAAAAGAATATAAATTAACAAACTTGATTAAAAAATTACTTATATTATAACTTAATATGATCTTCAAAACATAATTATTGACTAATACAGAATTTCACTTCAATTTATATTTTTACTTTTTTATCTTATTTTTAAAAAAATGAATAAAATATTAATAAGCGTTCTCAAAATAATTATTTGATACATAATTATCTTTTTTATATCTATAATATATATTTTTACATAATATATCAATTTCTATAGAATATTTAGAAAATTATTATATATATATATATATACATATAAGAAATAAAATATGTACTATCTTAAATTATGTCATTACTCAAAATCGTAAATGATCAATTTTATTATATAAATATATTTTTAATTTTTCTATCATAATATAATTGAGTAGTTCTTGTTTTATTAACTTAAAATATTCTTAGTCAGTTCAAAGCAAAAAAAATAAAATAATTATTTATATCTTATATTTATGACAAAATCGTATTTGAGTATATGTAGTTTTTTTAAATTATAATAAAATATCTTTATCGTGAATTATTCTTATATTTTACTAACCATAGTTATATTTTTTTAATTGATTTATTTATTCACTGAATCAATAAATTTTATATCTATCAATATATATAATATTGGATTATAAATAATTATTTTTAACTTATTAAATATACGAGTTTATTATTTTTTAAAAATTTATGATTGATATGTCTAACTTATATTCCCATTGAACTTTTTTTTTCAATAATTTTAGACATTGTTTTTTATCATGGTATATATTTGAATTTATGTGTTAAAATATAAAATTTATTGTTGAAAACTAACGATTAATTTCTATTAGTTATTACATGTTTATGAATACATTCATATACTTTAAAAAAAAAAAAAATCTTTATATGAATATTTTTGTTACATATTGATCTTGTCTAATTAACATCGTTAATGAGAACCACAATCTAATAAAATGTAAGTTATGCAAATAGAGAGTCTAATTCTTAAAAGTATGATTATTGTAAAGATTAAATGCATTACGTTTTACAAGAATCAATAAAGTAGTTATGATATAAAGTAGATAATTTTTTTTATGGACAAAAATATATCAAATAAAATTTCATTAAATTTACTTGAGTGTGTAAAAATAATTTATTTTACTAATAATTTAAATTTAGATATTTTAATTAAATAATTTTTTTAAAAAATATAACTTAATTAATTTAATAACCTGGCTTGATTTCCCCTAATTCTAAAAGGAGTGAAGTGAATATTTGGGGCAAGTAAAGAAATAGTGGTATTCATAGGGGTAATTTGCACAATTAATGGATTGAAGGTTTGGGAGTTGACACATGGTTTGCCCTAATAGCAGCGTGGCCTTTTAGGTCTTTTAATCCTGCCTACTCCAAGCTCCTTTCGTTGATACGCAGCAGTTGCGGCTTCTTCCTTTGTTCGTTCTCTATCCGTGCTGTGAACAATGGCGTATGCTGCGATGAAGCCCACTAAACCCGGCTTGGAGGAGCCTCAGGAACAGATCCACAAGATCAGGATTACCCTTTCCTCCAAGCACGTCAAAAATCTCGAGAAGGGTATGCATCAATTCACTCAAGTTTTCTTTTCTACTCTTCTCCCTATCCTCACTCTTTCGTGTTGTTTATAGTTTGTGGGGACTTGGTTCGCGGTGCAAAGGACAAGCGCCTCAGGGTCAAGGGACCTGTTAGAATGCCCACTAAAGTTCTTCACATTACTACCAGAAAGTCCCCTTGTGGTGAAGGTATTCTCTTGCACACTTCTCCCCTTTGTTCTCTGCTTCTTATTTTATTCTTTTGATGTTTTATATTTCGCAATTACACACTGCATATCATTATTTATGTTTGCCTCAATGTCCTTCCGTCTTTCTTTGTTCTTTAAGACCAAATATATTGCCTGGAAGGCGACGTCTAAATGGGGAACCACAGGAAAAAAAACTTGCTTATGCAGAGTGATGTGCTAAATTGGATTAAAATTCAAATGCAATACACTTGTGATATTGATATCGTGTCTCAAATGTAGCAAAAATATAACTTGTGTGTAGTTGTGTCATTTAAGTGATCCCACGCTTGTCTTTTTCTATTTGAGTTTTTCATTAATCTTACTTTTTAGGTCTGGTCTAGGGAAAGTTTGTTTAGATTGTGAGCTTTGAACGAAAAGGGAAGAAAAGTTCAGTTTTTATTTTTGAACTGAGGGAATTATGTTGGGTTTTTAGAAATTAATAGGGATGATTAGAAGGTTTCAGTGATATTCTATTAGTATAAAACTTGATTACGAAGCATTTCTGTTGAAAGGAAAGGTGCTTCATATCTTGTTGCGTTTAGTTTTTTATATCAATCTTCCTGAAACTTTTATTAGCATAGTGAAATGAAAAATATGGTTTGTACTTTGTTTCAATGTTCATTCTTTAGTTGAAAAATTTAAATTGACTGTCCTATGCACATGGTTTCCAGTGTTGGCTCTATAGTCTTTTGTTGTAATGCAATTGATTTTGCGAGTATGAGCATTCTCAGAGCCCAAAACATGGAAACACTGCTGTTGAGGCTGAAATTGTTTATGTTTTTTTGAAACAGAAATATTGTTGTGCTACTTAGCGTGCTGATATGATTTTCGAGTATTTTGTTTAACGTCTAGGCTTTTCTGATACTTGGTTCTTGTGAATGAATGATATTCTGCCTTGTGTTTTCTTGTGAATGATGCTTCTTTTAGGTACCAACACCTGGGACAGATTTGAACTCCGAGTGCACAAGAGAGTCATCGACCTCTACAGTTCCCCAGATGTGGTTAAGCAGATTACCTCAATCACTATTGAACCTGGTGTTGAGGTTGAGGTGACCATTGCAGACGCATGATCTTCAGCCAAATTTTAACTTTGTTATGCTTCCTAGTTTTTCCTTTTTCTGTATTTTGTAAGTTTTGATTGCGGGACTGAATTGACTTGTTTTCTCTAGTTTTACGGTTGTGGACATTATGAATGAGGAATGTCATGCTTAATATATTTTAGAATATTTCATATTTGTTTTGTTACTTATCACAATCAGTAGTAGAACACGAGTGTGCAATTTTTTAGGTACATTTAGTGCGCTTTTTTAATCAAAATTAAAGAATTACACTAAGTTTTGCTTTCAATAAAAATGTGTATTGGAAAACATGGACATGCAACGGAAAGCAAGCGGATTTTGTTGGGTATGAATCTGTTTTTATTATTTCCTAGATTAAAATGATCGTATTCATATTCGATAGGCAAATTTCATAGCAGCATTTATTCGCCAAATGTGTTCATTCAGAATTAAAAAGCTTTTCTTTATCTTTACCCTCGAATGCTCTTTTGTTAGCTAGAGAGAGATGCATGTAAAGCTTGACATTATATTTCAGTGTCTACAGAAACATAAATCGGAGATTCCTTTTTATTTGAATTAGAATAATATGAACATAAAGTATCATATTTTTAGTTCACTGCAGCTAGGAAGTGGGGCCCCACACAAACACTTATTGTGAAAATACGAATACACATCGAACCTTTGCAATCTTCCACCCTGCGGTGTCTCACCACACAGCTGATTATAGCTGACGTTGAACCCCTGCAAAAAATCCACTGCGGTCAATCCCACGGGAATGCTGCCATAGATCTTGTTATGATTCAGATCCAACGATATCAAGCTCGTCGCGAACTCCACTTTGGATAAATCAAATTTCAACAAGTTCCTCGAACCATCAAGAAACTGCGTCGTTTTGTTCCGCCCGAAAAGCCCGGAGGCATCACCTTCCAGCTTGTTCCTTGAAAAGTCTATCCTTTGTGGGTCTAAGTTGCCCAAGGAGGCTTGGAATGGGCCCGGAAAGTTGATTATGGGATAAGATAATACTTGGGCCTGGCTTCTTGAATGACCCAAATGAGTCTGGGATTGGGCCTGTGAGCTTGTTCCGGTCCAAGCGTAAGAACGAAAGGTTTTGCAAGCGGGAAAGTGAGGTAGGTATGGTGCCGGAGAGGTTATTAAAAGAAAGGTCGATGAAGTCCAGGTTTGTGAGTTGGGCCAAGAAATTTGGAACTGGGCCGGAGGTGTTGGTCCAGCTGATAGTGAGGTACTTGAGTTTGGTGAGCTTGGCGATGGTGGGCTGAATTGGGCCGGTGAGTTTACGGAGTTTGTGAAATTCGAGGGTCTCAAGGTAAGGGAGGTCTCCAACGGAGGGTGGTATGTGGCCTGATAAATTGGTATCTGGCACAGAAGATAACATCACGAGGGAGTAGATGCGGTGCGTTTTGGAGTCGCATTTGACGCAGCACCAGTCGCAGCAATCGGTGTCAGGGTCCCACGAGGCTAGGAGGTAAGGGTTGTTCAAGTCCTTCCTTATTTGGAGAAGCACTTTCTTGTCGTGTGGACAGCTCCGAGAATGCGAGTCCAGAGAATAAGAGGAAGCATAATCCGAACGTAAACGTGGCTCCCATTTTGGATGGAATGAGGATGTGAATAAACGCAAAGTGGGAGAGCGTTCAAGTTTATAGAAGGCGTTGGGGAACGAACGCACTGCATTTGTTTTTTATGTACTTGTTTTTCATGTTTGACATATGCACAGCTTATATTCATCCCGTAAATGTTGCGATGCAGTCCTTGTTACCGCCATTGAAAGGAATCAAGCCAAAATAAATGTCAATATAAGTTTTGTCTAAACATTTTAACCCAACAATATCAATTTTTAGTCAGTATCTTTAAACAATCCACTAACAATAATTTTGTTTAACGTGCAACATTATTACTCTTTTGTGTGTATATATACATATACATGGGCATCGATCTGACAAAGAGCTGAGTTGGTAAAAAAAGAGCAACCCTAATCCGTATCCGTACCAATTTTCCAATCGTAAATTCAGTGTACCCTTGAAAAATTAAGTAATTCTTCGAAGTTGAGGTTGATAATTTCTTAAAAAAAAATGCATTTTTAAAAAATTTAGGGTCGATAATAGAACATGTGATTTATGCAACAATGTCACAAAAACTTAATTTAACTCAGAGCTTAAAGTTTCTCTTAAAAAAGGAATAAGTGTGATAGTCATTATAAATAAAGTAAGTAAGAAAAAGAAGTCAACAAAAGAGATAAAAAAAAATTCAAACTTAATGAAAGTCTTTATTTTACTCATGTTTCTCCTCAAAAGGATTCTATAGACTAATAATAGTGATTACTATGGGAGAGCTGTCTTATTGAAAAAAATAGAAAGAAAAAAAGCTTATTGAGAGAATTTTTTTATCTTTCCTTTCTTTTTGGATGAGCAAACACACTTCTTAACTTTGCATCCAATCTTGAGATAATTTTTCTTGCAGGCTTTAGTGAATTTTGATATTTGATTCATAATATCTATGAAAAACATACATTGTCTGCAAAGTTTGTCAAAAACTTCTATAGTCACCTCGTAGATTTGTGTAAAACTTAAATTGGTTAAGTCTCTTCCTTGTACAGTGATTATTTTGTAAATTTCATATTGTAATTCTTGAGAAAAACTTTTTAAACAACACATTTAATAATAATTATATATAATAATATATTTTTTAATAACTTGTCATATATTTTATTAACTATTCAAAGAAATTAGAAGTTAAAAAAAAAACTACCAAAAACCAAAATAATCAATACTTAAGTAGAATCAACAGTTTTTTTCTCAAAATATGGTAAATTTAAAAACAAATTATCAAAATAGGGTGTTTATAAAATATTTTTCCAATCTAAGATAGTTTTTGCCACATCATATTGATTGTCATCTCTTATATGGCCGACACTTATTTTTTTAATAATAAAATATTGAGTATCAGTTATATAAAAGCTAACACTTTTTTTTAATAATAAAAAAAATAAGTGTCATCTGCATATATTTTGACACTTCACAGTGTATTTTGATAAGCAATAAAATTGAGTATCTTTCTTCCCTTTAATTTCAAACTAGAAAACACTTTATAGAACTCTTTTTTGTAGTTTGATTGCTACAATCTATCTCTGTTATGTTTTCTTTTTAGTCTTTAATAGGATGAGGATTTTAACAATGAATATAAAAAATATGACCTCCATGAGTGTTGTGGATGGAGAATTCAGTCATGAAAAATGAAAAGATAACATTCAATTATCCCAACACAAGAAGTTTTAGCACAAAGTTAATAAAAAGAATAGAGATAAGTTTCAGTTTAATTCATAATATTATTTTTTTTAATAATAAAAATGAGTGTCGATATATATATATAGATGACACTTATTTTTTTATTATAAAAAATTAATAGCTACTTTTATACTATCGATATTTAATATTTTATTATTAAAAAAATAAATATCAGCTATATAAGGAACGATATTTAATATGACGTAACAAAAACTACTCTAGATTAAGAAAATAATGTTACAATAAAAATAAAATGAATTGACTTTATTAATGATTAAGTATAATAATTTTAAGAGTTTTGTTAACTTCAATCTTAAAAGTTTAAGATAAATAATTAATAATAATAAAATTTTATTAGAAAGAGGAGTATAAATTGTTAATTTTAATTAGTTTTAAAAGGTTTAGATACACATTAAGCTGTCCTGACAAGGTGATCTACTTGATGACGAAAACAAATTCAAATTAATAAACGAGCATGTTGTTAAGTTGAAGCATAGTATTGTTCCATTCGTGCACTTTGGAGGTTGCAAAGGTTAAGGTTTTCTATGAAGCTGGAGATATTGGGAGGAAAAACATTTGTGACTGTTAGAGCATACGAAGGGTTGTTAAGGTAGCAGAGTGTATAATTGCAAACTTGGATACCACTTATATTTTACTTACATATTGTTCAGTTTTCCAATTTTTATATAATAATGTAGGACTTTTTCACTCTTTTGTGTTGTTTATAGTTTGTGTGGACATGGTTCGCGGTGCAAAGGACGAGGGCCTCAAGGTAAGTTGGATTCGGATCCTCTCATGTTCTGGCGCGAACATGAGCGTCCTGTCCAAATTCGCTTAATATAAGTGAATTTTCGCTTAAGCCAACGTTTTAAGCTTAAGCGATGCATTTATGGAATCCTGGCATCAAAGCGAGGCCAAGCGAGAGTTGGAGAATATCCGCTTAAGCGATACATCACCGCTTAAGCGATTATGGAATCGCTCCGTTTCGCTCAAGCGATCTTGATTTCATATTAAGCGAATTTCACTTCTGAGAGCGGTTCAAAACGAACCGCTCTCCAAAGTCGAATCGTGAGAGCGGTTGGTTTTGAACCGCTCTTCAAAGTCGAATACTGAGAGCGGTTCATATTTAACCGCTCTTAGAAGTCACTTTGGAGAGCGGTTGAAAACCAACCGCTCTCCAAAGTCGAATCAGGGAAGGTACTCGCTTAAGCTATTGTAGATTAGCTTAAGCGAATAAGGTATTGGCTTAAGCGGATGCAAGCGAATTTATTTAAAATGAAGTGAATTCGCGACAGAGAGTACTGATTCACAGAACCATAAATCGCTTAAGCGAATTTGGGTTAGCTTAAGCGAATGGATGCATAGCTTAAGCCAAACTTGTGAGGTTGGAGCGAAATTAAAATAGCTTAAGCGAATTCGAGGGCTTAAGCGAATTATGCAGAAATTGGAAAAATTATGCAGAAACTGACATTACTACATAGGCAATTCAAAAACATAAGAGCAGAGCCATTCCTAACCATTCCATTCCAGAACAACAGAATCAAATATCATTATTCAATACACTTCAAAATATCAATTGATTTTGCCAGCATAACATGGATAAAAACTTAAGTCCATTCTATTAATAAAATATAATACTTCAAAATGAAAGCATACGCAAAACTAAATCCATGAGAAAATAGGAAATATTTCAAAGTAAATACATCCATAAATAATTTGAGGACTAAGGATTAATCATGTCTGCCACATAGTCTTGGTCATTGAAGTCTTCATTATGTTGTCCGTCATTGTATGCAGCATTATCCCCATCCTCTCCAAATTGTTCTTGTGCTTGGTCTTCAACCACTGGTTGATTTTCCTGTATATCTTCATTAACTCCCTCCTCTGGGTGGACGATATCATCCTGTGCAAATTGGCGTTCAGTTGGAAAAGTTGGGCTGTCTCCAGGCCAGGATACAATACTTGCAAAAGTTTCAGGTGTAGGCCAAGGGAAAACAGAAGTCTCTCCATGATGTTGGTGTAATGTAAACCTGTGAATTGATAAAATGAGAGTTATGTTAAACAAATTAAATATATCCAAATAGTATGTAAAAGAAATTCTTTAAATAAAGTTTACTTGTAAAAAGCCTCATTCAACTGCGTGTACGCTCGGTTGTTTGCTGCGTTTTGTTGTTCTATATGAGTCAAATGGTGTATGATACCAAAATCTGTATTTTGCATATGAGGCATGGATGGTGTAGTTGTTGGTGGTGTCGCTGCAGGTGCTGCAGATGAGGTCGGCTGAGAAGAAGTTGGATTAGGATGCTCTAACGGATTAATGCAGTAATTTCTTATGAACTGAGAATTTATAGGTTTCTTCAATTTAATTGTTTGGTTGGAGCAGTCAGGAATCGTAACACCTTGTGAAGCACATAAAACAGTAATCAAAGCAGGAAAACCCAAAGGCTTTGTCGCTACTGCAGTAGTGGAGGTGTTGGACATGACAAATTGGTGGATTTCATCTGAAATGATTGCTGCTATGTCCACAGTTAACTTCTCCATGAAGCTATAAATCAAATATGCTCGACTCATGCGAACATCTGAGGTGTGTGTGGTGGGGGCTATGTTGGCAAAGAGAAACGATGTCCAGATTTGTGCTAAAGTATTTAAACTTTGCCTCTTAAACCTCATTGCCTTTCCAACAGCATTTGTCTCAAAGGTTTTCCCGGGGATGCATAAGATCTTAGCTACCTCCTGGTCTACAAAACCTAAAAATCTCCTTCTACGTTGTTGGTATTGGCAAAGCTCTCCTTCTGGTAAGGTCATAGGATTGCCTAAAAGTGCAGAAATAGCCTCCCTATCATAAGTAATTGTTTGCCTACAAACCCAGGACTTCCTCTCTGACTTATCTGGTATCAACGGCCATGCATTTGCGTAAAATTCTTTCACAATAATTTCATGTATTTGGTTAGGAAGATTTATCAAATATTGTCATTTCCTTCTGACAATTTCCTGCATAAATTCATCATACTCTCCTTGGTCTAATACCACTTTCCTCTCAGATAGTAATTCCCTTTGCTCCAATTGAATGTATCTTTCAGCCTTTGCCCTAGTCCTGAACCTAAATATATCCCATGATAAGACTGGTGTATGTGTTTGTGTTTCTAGTGCCTCTTGGTCATCCATAACTTCATTTTGATGTGAACTTTGTCCAACCTCAGGTCTTTGCCTTTTTCTTTGAGGAATTGACTTCTTAGGTGCCATACTGAAATTAAAATAAGAAATAAAATCATGAATTTTAGATTAAAAATATATCAGTCAATATC